GTGTGTGTGTATGTGTAAGATAAAAAGGGTATGTAGTGACCCCACTTTTTTTATACATCGTGGCACGACATTTATATGCCACATAACAGCATCTAAATATTTTGAATAGTAAAAAAATGATTAAAGAAAGATTTGATTAAAAAATGTATCTCAAGTAAAACAGATGAGAATTTTATTATCTATTTATATGTTAACATTAAAATATTAAAGTTTCAGAAGCTGTTGTTTGTTCGAATATTTTTGAAAAAAATCGATACATTGTAGAAATATATCATTCATGTTGTGATAGGGAAGTTTGCCATTCTGCTCACATAGACGTGAGAATTCTTCTCATTATTCGTAATAAATCCGTTAAACAAAACGATGTTTATCGTTCTATATGCGTTCGTATGATTACATTTGAAACCAGCATAGCCGGAATCACGTGCGAAATGATGCAAACAAACTGGATACATCCGTGTGTGGTGCAATATATGTGTGCGCATCCCGACATGTGTGTCGAATGCACTGAACGTCATTCCCGAGTTGCAAATGATTGCACCATTCGAAAGTCTACATTTCGCGGAAATCAATGGCACCAATGATATTCATTTTTATCAATCGATGAATAGTACAAGTGTGTAAAAAGCTCTTAATAGCGTAAATAATGTTACTATGTTATCAATATACATTTTTCATGTTACGCTGCTCGAAAGATCATTCATGCTTTGAAATGATAGCGATAGATAAATTACTGACAAGAATATTTTTAGCGAGTAATTTAGCAAATTAATTATTTTCATTCGCATCTTTTTACTGTCTTAAATTAGCAGAAATTAACGCATTTTTTTTATCATTCTCTTCGTTTAATCTTTTAACTTTTTAATATATTATCTTTCATAATTCTATGTCTCTCTCATAAATGATCATTTGCATGTAACCTGAAGCATAATAATGTAATTTTAGCCGCTTTATTAAATTTCACGTCGACATGTGATGTCATAATATAGAATTAATGTATATAAAATGTAATGAATACTCATTATATGTGTGTATAATATAACACAATACATCACTATGTGTGTGTATGAGAGATAGAATATTCAAATATAAGGTAGCATTTGTTCTATATGACACAACGTTTTCAATCCATTAAACGATTGCGTTAATTAAGCACCGATAAATCATGTGCAAAGCCTATATCGATAAAAGGTATCTGTATTGTGGCATTTTTCCGTTAATTCTCATTACTAATTGCAAATAATAAAAAATTAAAATATTGTTAAAAGGCTACGTTATGTATATGTCAAAATTATTAATATATCAAATAATCCTTTTCCCAAAAAATTTTATATACATATGTATAAGATTATCTTCTATTATGAAAGTATTAACAATTATATAGGATTTACGCATTTGTGCAAATCATATTTCTATATTGATTTGCTATAGCACTTGCTAAATTAAATGATCACTTTTAATAAAAGCAAATGTTAAATCCTCGCTGGCACTTAAATCTTCTAATGATACATTCAATATTTCTTGGCGTAAAATCAAGAGTTTCATAAAGTTTAGATTTTACGAGGACGTACATTCCTATTTAGATAGTAAAACATATTCGCAAAACAGTACATCATAATTACAGTGCAGTGAAATATTCAAGCGGAAATATTCACGATCGGCGACAGATAATTAAACATCTCGATGAACTAAACTTTTTCTGTGCCATGTTATTGTATTCTCTATGACAATGACGACAATTGAATTATCATACTGATTATAGCAT